GGTGAAATTGGCTGTTAAGTGTTGAAGACCTGGTGTATCAGACTGTGGTGCAGAAGATCTCGCTCGCTCGCTCTGTAATCAGGATCTGATTAAAAGTCAGAGCGCTGATTTGGAGAGTTCAGTCTTCTATACTCTATGGAATTCACTGAATATTGTTAGGAAGGAGGAGGAAGAGGTGGATGTGGGGAAAGAGGGGTGGAGAAAAATTTCATATTCTTTTAGTCATTTTAGCTATACATTTTTCTGTGGCTTTGCAATAAGAACAGACAGCACTGCACAGATTAAATGCTTGCTGACATTCTCATACTTTCTCCAGTGTCTCATCTGATTGCTTTTACCTCATTAACAATTAAACTGAAGACAGCAGTGCAGTTCCTATAGTGTAGGCAGTTAAAATAGTGCTGCAAAAAGAATCTTTCTGACATGGTAACTTTGAAATTAGCTGGAGGTGATAAAGATTGCACCTTCAAAAATAGTGAATGTAAAAAACATTGAAGTGCCATTGGCTATGTCTACTGGTGGCTAAAGCCAGGCTGTTCAGATGTGTGATGTTGGTGGATCTGGTGAAAATACTTTTTTTTTTTTGCCCCCAATGAAAACTTTTGTAGTTTACCTTTCACAATGTTGCAGCAAATACATTCTCCTAAACTACTGTCACCCCACATGGGAATTTTCTCTTCCAGGGTTAAGTGGTTGTTAAGTTCCCTTGCTCCTGAAATTGAATGAAGTGCTGTAGGTTGTACAAATGTGAAATAGATTTGTGATGAGACTTACTGAAGAAATGGTATAAAAGACTCCCAAACTCTTTTCATATGGGACATTAAGGTTTTCCTCCAGATCTGGAGTTCAAATTAATGCTCTACTTGCACAATGAATTTTTTATATTCTCGAAAACCTAATTAGTTAAAGAGCAATTAAAATTAAACTTATTTTTGGGATTTAGAAGTATTAAAGCAAAGGCAGAGGGAGTGTGGGGACAAATACTGTAGCTTCCTTTGATGTTATGACTATGATGATTAATAATAATGCTTGGCTAAGAAGATGATTAACCTTGTTACTTTATTCACAATTCACATTTGTATCAAACAAAACCTAAATCAGAATATGTTGTTGCTGTGTCAAAACCAACAGCTGTATAATATCAAGCCAGTTTCAAATGTCTTCAAGGAGAAAAACATCTGAGAAGTCTCTTGACAGGGTGATGGATTTCTGGGAGAAACTTTTTCTTTATGCACTAATAGATCAACTCAAATAATAATAGAGATTAATAAACAAGGGCCAAATTCTGCACTTCATTATGCACGTTGAATCTCCTACTTAAGTTAATGGGAATTGCATGTATCTATTCAGGACTAGAACTTGGCTCTACAAAAAGGGCTCAATCGTGCAACCCCTAAAGTTAATGACAAAACCTCCTACTGACTTCAGTGGTGCATGATATCAGGACCATAATATTTACAGTGATGTAAATGATGAGAGAACTGGAACTCAACTGTTTGTTAGCAAAAACCTTGGGTAACATGCAAATTCGTATAAGCATATCTGAGACCACTAAAAAAAGTGTTCATCCTGACACTGTTGCCAAGCCTGAAAAACACCCAGCTGATATTTTAAGGTTATGAAAGCAATGCATGAAAGTCATGCCAGTACAATCTTTTTACTTTTGTGTCTTGAATTGGTTATCATTCCAAGAGAGATTTCTGTTTATTTGAAATTGGCAATTAGAAAAACAAAAAACAAACTCAAAACAAAACATAAAATGCTATTTGATTATCTTGATTGCATCTTGCATTTCAATATATGGTCTGTCGCTAAACTCTGACTCATCTGCCACCAGCAGGCTTCAGAGGTGATAATCACCCACACAAAGCTATTTGCACATCATGTCAATCCTATCCCATGTCTAATTATACTCTTTAGAACAAACTGTTTAGCATAATTAGTGAAATTATGCTCCACAGGAATAAGGATAGAAGTTATCTGATAGAAGATTAAAGTTTTTTAAAGTCAGGCATACAGGTACAAGCTAATAACTTTGCTATTTGGTCACAATAAAATACATTTTGATATATTTGCCTACATACAATTATGGTTTAAAGTAAGTCAGAGTAACTTTTTGTATAATATTTACAAATTTGGATGAAGGCATAACTGATCATAAAAGCTTACATAATTATGAAATGGTTTTGGGATTCATAAATTGCTAACAATCTCACCAATATTTTTCCAGCCACGGCTGAAAAATGCTGTAAAGACCAGCACTGGAATCAAGTATGCTGGAAATGACCAAAGAACCTATTACTCAATTGATAGACAACAGCAGGTACAAATGACCTTAATGGGAAAGCTCTGGTTTAATTTTTTTTTTTGTGTGTGTAGATGATCAGAAAGGATGTTTACTTAATGACCACTCTTTCTTTGTGTTTAAACTTTAATGATGTGCTGCTTTAATATGAGATGCTTTGAGATCAAAGAGAACACAGTATTATACATATATGTACACAAAGATAAATATATACATCGTTGATTTTTCTTTGGGCATGCTTTGATCGTAAAAGTCTTATGGGTGTTACATGAACATCTGTTGCAGTGACATTTTCTTTATATGTTGGCAGTTTTGTGTTCATTTTTTCTGTATTAAACTGGGAAAAGTTTGAAGCATACAAAAGCCAATACACCAGTTTATTGTTTCATAGCAGGCAAAAAACGGTGTCACCTGAGAATAATTTCCTGTCCCCAGCTGAGGACAGAAATCTACCCTTATGAACACAAATATTGTATTAGCATAGACAAAAAGAGAAGAAATCATGCAGAATCCATTAAAGCAGCCTCAAGTAATTAATCATGTTTGTTTTTTAAGTACTGATTGTAATTCTGTTAAAACATAGTTACATAGTGGAGTAGGATCAAGAAGTCAAGGGGCTCTCCACTGTTTAACAACAATTCTGTTATTTCTATCATATAGGAAAGGCCTTTAGAAAATTGTGCCATGAACAGCCACTTTTCCCCCCGAGCTACTCAATACCCCTGTCGGGGAGGAGGAATGTAGTGGGTAGAAGCCAAACAATGTAGTCATCTCTTTGTGTACTCATAAATTGGTGCTCATGCTTCATGCATTCCACATGGGTATTAAAATTTGTTGAACCCTGCCTCATCTCATTCAAAGGACATCTATACCAGATATATTTAAGATAATACACAGACTTGCAGTAACTACTGTATTTCCTAAGGGATGTTAAACTGAATGTTGTCTATTTTAATAAGTAAATGACACTAATCACCTCACTGTAAAAGTTCACAGAATTAAGAGGTCAACAATGCATCCTTTCAGGTCACCACTGATTAAAAAAATATTTGAGTTTCCCTATTAAGTATTCAAAGGCCAACATCTGCTGATGCTCAGAGATGGTGAATGTGGTGAAGAAGGCTGTATGGAGCGTAAAGTGAAAATCACAACGATGTAGTCCATGCAACACAGTATTGACAAACAGTAGCACAACTGAGCTCCAAAAAGCTATTTTGCCATTTATCCATTTCTGTTACTTACAACTGTGGGATTCCAGATAATAATAGTCTGATAATCTCTTTTTATTGCCTTTTATTTAGTTCCTTTTTTGGATACAAAATACATGTGCAAATGCAATTGTCAAGGTTGTGAAAGTAGCACATCATTGTGCATTTGCAGTGAGGCAAATGTCGAGGGAGACAATAAAGCAGAAAAATTAGACTCTCAAAACTGAAGACTTTCATTGGCAAGTTGTTGTTGATGCTGTTTTGCTATTTAAGGTGGCAAACTGGATGCCATAGGATTAAGCTGGCATCTAAATGGACATGAAACACTACTCCCCTTTACAAAGAGGCTAGTTTTGACGGCATTTAATATGCTGTCTAGTGCTTAACAAATCAGTGCCTAAGGCTGTTCATGCGCTTAAGTAAACTGAACTGATTTATAAATTGAAAGACCTGACCACGCATTTATAAGAAGCAAGGCAGCTGCTTTATCCAAATTATTAGAATATTGCTTTTCAGCCAGATATCAGGTATTGCAAATCTTTTTTTGACACTGCTAAAATTGTGATAGACCTGCAGAGCACAAAATCTGTGCCTAAAGCCTATGCAAAGCAGAGGCTGTGCAGGAACATTCTTTCACTCAGCTACTGAATTATACCTTTTCTGCTTCAGCGCTTAATTTCTAATTAGCTATCATTCCATGACTATACCCGCTTCACAACTGTAGGATGGTTTGACTCAAAGACCATATTCTTATTTTTTTGCATTGTTTTTATTTATAATAGCTGATTTTTTTAAAAAGGCAATTTTGTATTTTATTAGCTGTTTTAAATGTTTTCATTTTATACAATAAAATGAATCTCAACAAAGAACCTATTTATTCTGTTCAAGGCCTGAGCTAGAGTCCACTGATGTCAATTAAAAGATATTCTCTAGTCTAGCTCTATGGCCTGTGTTATACAAGGTCACGTTAAATGATCACCATTGTCCCTGTCTGGCTTTGGAATCTATGAATCAATTGAAAGACTCCGATTGATACACTACATTCACTAGATTAAAAACAAAAAGAAATACATTTTAGTGCATTCTTCCATTTCCCCTTATATTTATCTATTTGTATATATAGCTTTAAGGGCTCTACTCTTCTTGGGTATTAATAAAGTTTGGTGTTTTAGAAAATGTACTTGATAATATTTTTCTACCCAATGCCATCCTGATGTTCCAATTTGTAATGCTAACGCTTTTATTTGCTGATCAAGAAGCTGTGTTTTCAGACAGATGTACTGTCATGAGCTACATATCATATTCTCTTTGATCACATAATGCAGTTACATGTAAATGCAGCATGGCAAAGTCAATAATATAGTCCCCTTACCGTAAAGCACATTTCAGTGAAACGTTATCTACAACAGAAATGGATGTTGGGAAAATAGAGCTAAGAAGCTGAATAACATAGCAAAGCTAGTCTAGATTTGCTTTTTATTACTTACTACCAATACTGGAAATACTGGGAATACCTGTAGAAAAAGAGAGCAAAAAGGGCATAGTTAGTGGTTTACTGTAGGTGTCTAAAAGGCTACAGCATTACATCAAATATTTGGAACTTCTTTTCTCATACTTCCATAAACTTCAGAATACTGTATCAATTAACAGCTAGAATCAAGCACTTGCACATACATCATGCAAGCCTTCTATTTCTAATTGTAGACGCTTTGGGTTCTTTAATATGAGATTGCAGGGAATTTTGGAAGGTATTTGTTGTGTTCAAAAATGACATTTGGAGTATTTCTGAGACATTCAGCTTTTTTCTGCTCTCATAACTTCATGCAGTTGTTCAGAACAATTCTGTATTCATACTAAACAGTTATTAGGTTTCTGTTCTGGACAATATATACAGGCCATGATGTATCAGGTATATCTAGGAAACTATTTTAATACAGGGCTAGATGCATTATTAGCTGCTTCAGTTGGCTGCTGAAAATCATTTGGTTCTTTATTAGATTAACTTTATCTAGCTATCATTTTTGTTCCTCTTTTACCTGTCAGTTGTCTGGATTAAGCTATGTAATAGAAATTTAATTGAGCAAAATAATACAACACATTAGGTCACTCATATTGATCATGCCCCTCATTGATTTTTCTGCTCTCACTTCAATTCTCAAGTTGAATTAATGTGGGAGAACCACTCTAGAGTGTGACTGGACTTTGTAGAAAATGTGGATGTGCAATATTCCTTGCAATATAGTTCTCCTTAGCTAAAGTGAAACATGTCTATGAGACTATTTACAGGACCATAGGCTAAAGCCACAAACTGCAGATCAGTATTTAAATCCCTGCTACTTGCATCATCTCAGTTAAACAGTTTGCCTTTTATAAGTTTTATTGACTTTTGATGGCATGGTATTATAGTGTAGAAATCTATTTCTTCATTAGCATCTACTATCCTTTTAAATTCCTTCCTGAAATTCTTAATGCAGAGAAACTATGGGATGGATTCTGCAACCTTTACTCAAGGGAATGACTTGCAGGAGTATGCATTACTCAGTGTAGACTAGGGTTGCAGAATCAGGCTTATTTTATTATAATTATTTTCATTATCATATATTAGGTAGTAACCTACTCTGCATTATGGCTATATCCTAGGCCCTGTCAGATTCTTTGCACCAGTAGAGCCTTGGGCTTCTCAAGTCTGCTGGGGATTCTGCCAGGGTGGCAGCATCATTGGGGATGTAGAATACACAACCGAATACAGGCAGTCCTTGGATTTATGACATAATTGGTTCCTGAAAATTGCGTAGTAAGTCGAAACATTGTAACTTGGAACTGCAATGCACACTATTGGGACTGAGCATCGAAACCAATGGTTGTAAGTCGAATCGGGATGTCAATTCAGAAACGTTGTAAGTGGTGTTCGTCTTAAGTCGCACATCATAAAGTTGAGGCCTGCCTGTACATTCCCTACGGCAATCTGGTTTAGGAGCATGGCTGGGAGGAAAAGGAGTACATATTGAGGCAGCTCTAAATTATGTCATGGTTGGGGCCATGCAGCACTACTAGCTCCAGAGTCAGGGAATCCTAAATTGCTCCTTTGTGACTCCCCACCTCAATTACAGATAATGCTTTTTGGGCACTTGTAAGAATTGTGCCCCAAAAGTCTTATATTCTGTTTGGAAACTCTATGCGCTCAGTCATGCGAGGTGCAGAGTATCACCTTATAGAAGGCTCTCAGCAATTTTCAGAACTGGGCTCCATATGCAAACACTATTTATAAAATAATGTATTTTACTCCTCCTGAAAATAAACCGATGTTTAAAGGGAAACTCCCTTTAAAGCAATGTTTCAAAATTTCAGAATCATATAATTAGTATCATAGACTACAACACTGATATTTTTAAAGAGAAAATTAAAATTATATTTATAGAAATAAAAAACCTCTCATTCCACTGCTGTCATCTTTTCTTGGAAACAGATTAACAATGATAGAATCGCTTTCCCATTGTTTTAATAGAAAAGGAACTCAACTTTGAACATTATTTTTAGATGAGCTTTAGTAACATATATTTACATTTCTGTGTGGCAGTTTAGTCATGTTTTTAATTAACATGTTTTATTTTCTTTATACACAGATGGGACTTGTACAGATAAAAAGGCAGGTAATATTCTCACAGCTCCCCTGTGAAATGGTATTTAATATTCCCTTTTATGTGCGCGCACACACACACACACACACACACACACACACACACACACACACAAACACACACACACACACACACACACACACACACACACCCCTACCTACCTTCTCTTCCTCTCCAAGGCAAGTTGCAAGTAGGGAGAGGTTTTCTTATTAATTTGTACTTCTCTTCCTTTACTGTATCTCAAAAATCTCAATGAAAAACAACAATGAACATTTCCTTAGCAATGAGGAGTAATGAAAACAAGGTAACTGCTTGCCTGAAGGACTTTGCATTAATCTTGTTAGCTTGTTTTCACATTCCCTATTTGAGAAGCTTCTTTTGCTATTTCCATACAGATTTCTCAATAAGGAAAGAGAAGCTCTGAGTGACAGTGTACTTTTCTCTGTCTCCTAAAATATGTTTGGCCCTGGAAGGAGACAGAAAAATAAATTGTGCACATAACAGGAAAACGCTTTATAGCAGCAGTTCTCAAAGTGTAGGTTGCAACCCCAAAGCGGGTTGCTACCCCGTTTTAAGGGGGTCGTCAGGGCCAGCGTTAGACTGGCAAGGAGCCAGGGCAGAAAGCCCCACCCTGAGTCCTGCAATCATGGGGCTCAGACTGAAGCCGGGGGGGGGCATTTAGGGAGGGTGGGGGGCACCTGCCCCCCTGAGTTTCATACCACAGATTTCAGCTCTGCACATGGCAGGGCTGACAGCCAGAGCCCAAGCTCCTCCACAGCAGGGCTTCAAGCCTGAGCAACTTAGTTGCCCTGCTTCCCACCTCTTAACCCCAGCTCTGTGCATCACTTCCTCTACTCAGCACCTAGCAAGGAATCAGCAGGTGTTGTAGTTAAAGCCAGTTTGAAAAGTTGCTGTAGAAATAATTTTAGCAAAGGACTGTTTTCTGAAGAAAGGTAGAGGAAAGGGAGGCAATGAATGGGAGTCAGTTGCCACTTGCAGCAAAAGAAGAGCTCACAATGAGGATCTAAGCAGCAGTAAAATACCAAGAAACCGAAAAAACAATTAGAAATATTTGGAATAGGGATTTACTGGGCTGATTTTGAGGGGGAGTCATGGCCACAGTGTCTGGTGTATGGTGAAGTTCTGGCAAAGGAGAGCTTAAAACCATCTAAAATGTGGCACCCATTTGGAGACATGGTGCAGTTCTATTCAAACAAAACCACTTGATTTTTTTTTTCCCAGCAAAAGCTGAGAGAGCTACAGGGCCAGAAGAGAGTACTGAGCTTGGCAGCTACAACAAATGAGAGAGCCCTTGAGGCATCTTCTGCTGTGTCATACTGGATAAGTAAAACTGGGAAACCACACTCTACTGGAGAAGCTTGTTTTCTGCCATGTGCCAAGGAATGATTTGATTATATTGGGGCAAGGTGCAGCGACTCAACTTGATTCAATTCCCCTGTCTAATGACACTATTGCCAGGTGTATTCACAGTATGGCAAATGATGTGACTGAACAAGTGATCGCCAAAATCAAGCAAACTTCTTTTTTTCCCATTCAACTTGATGAAACAACAGATGTGTCGGGGACTGTTCAGGTGCTGACATATGTAAAATTTGAGAACGATGAAAAACTCCAAGAGGAATTTCTGTTCTGCCGGCCATTACTACAGCGTGCTACATGGGAACAGCTCTTTGCACTTTTCGATGCTTTTGTTTCTGGTTCTGGCTTGAAATGGCAGTGCAGTGTAGGAATTGGCAGTGACAGTATTTGTGCAACTGGAAAAAACAGCGGGCCAGTCACCCGAGTGCAGGCTGTTGCACCGCAAGCAGTTTGGATGCACTGTTTTATACACAGGCAAGCCCTAGTTGCAACAACAACAAAAAGCCACCTGTTCTAAAACAAGTTCGTGATGAAGCTGTTCGCATAGTCAGCTTAATCAAGAGAAGCTCAACAAGTGTATATTTGTTTGGAGCTTTGTGTGGTGAGATGGGAGCTGAGCACCATCAGTTACTTCATCACAGAAAAGTTTGGTGGCTGTCTCGGGGAAAGGTTCTCAAATGTTTGTTTGAGTTCAGATGAAGATTCCCTGCTGGCCGAAAAGTTTGCAGATACCAAGTGGCTTGCTTTGCTAGCTTACCTGGCAGACATTTTTGAATGCCTAAATGAGTTCAATACCTTACTTCTCTCACTGACAAAACTGAAAGCTGGAGCAAGAAACTTTCCTTATGGTATGTGTATGGATACTGGCAATTTTGAAGGGGTTTTTTACTGGATGACTTTTTGGATGAAAATGCCTTGCCAAAGCATGACTTGCAACCCATTATCATCAGCCACCTGGAAAGCCTTAAACTGCAGTTTCAGGAGTACTTCCCTGAAAAGGATCAGAAAACAGAGGTGTGGATTAGAAATCCCTTTAATGTAGAAGTGCTGTTATGTCACTTACAGTGAAAGAAACATTAATGGACCTTTCCCGTGATGAGACATTGATGCTGAGATTTCTGAACAACCTCTTGCTAACTACTGGATTTCTGTGTGAGAAGAATATCCAGAGCTGTCATTTGCAGCATTGAAAGTGCTTAGGCCATTTTCGTCCACCTACCTGTGTGTAGCTGGCTTTTTAGCACTGACCTTACTGAAAAACAAATACAGGGCCTGTCTCACTGTTGAAGATGACCTTTGTCTTTATCTCAGCCACACAGAGCCCCCTTCGAGGATTTGTGTTCATCAATACAAGCATACCCATCCCCTGAGGTACATATTTATTTTTTACTGCTGGATATAAAGATTGTCTTGTGAATTTAAATATTTAGTGGCTACTTTTTTGTAGATATGGTCTTGTAGTGCATTTTTTTATTTAAAATATTAACTGTTTCAGA